TCACATGCACCTGTGTCCCTCCGTGTCTCTGAACGGCGACAGCTGGTGCCCGCTGCCTGGATGTGTGTGTAATGAATGCTTAACATCAACGTGCCACCTGAGGACGGACTTGTGCCTGCGTGAGCCCCGCTTCTCCACGTCTACATCCGCATCCCTCCTTCTGAAGGATTTGGGACTTGGCTATTTCAGTGGCTTCTGAACATACATGAAAATAGTAAATGCTTCCAAAAGCTCTCCTTGTACTTCTCCTTTCTCTGCTCACATACTCATGAAGCCTTCACCGTAAGTGTGCGGCTGAGGTCGGCTCACAGCAGGCCCGCCGCGGTGGGCAGGAGGAGGAGGCAGGGCAGGAGGAGGCCCTCCCCGCAGGAGCGTCCGCACAGCCAGCCAGCACCGGGCAGACGGAGCCGCTCCTTCCCCCGTGGTCGTCTTTATTAGAAGGTGAACCGTTCTCCCGCCGGGGGTCTGACCCCGACTGCCTTCTGAAGGGCACTGTGAGGGCTCGGCAGGCAGACCAGCAGGACCTCCTGAGCTGTGGCTGAGCTTCGGCCGCCAGGCCTCCCTGTTCTGGGGTGAGATGTCCCGTGTGGCTGGTGGGCTTGGACTGCAGGCCAGCCCTCTGCAGCCTGGGGTTCCCCTCGCAGCAGGCCGTCCCCAGTTCGGCCCCAGGGCTTCATGTTCTGAGGGCGCACTCAGCCCAGGACCCCCCTTCTCTCCACGGCCGCCCCTCAGTGGGCCATCACCCTGGGTGGCGGGACAGGCCTGGGAGGGGGGCACTGCCCGTTGTCTGAAAAGAGTCGTCTCTGTTCTGACTTTTAACGGTTCCCTCCTGCGACTCGTGCACGGCCAGGAGTGGAAGGGCCTGAATTAATTTATGAAACCACAGCCGCAGATGCCCTCGTCAGACTGGTTCCAGAACTACAGGGGCTGCTGGGCGTGGCTGCACGAGGCCTGAAGCGCAGGTGTACCCGGCCCGAGTTCCTAGGCATTTCAGCCGAGGGAGCAGCTGGGGAACCAGCCACGGAACGGACCGTCGGCTCTCGGACCTTCTCTCTCTGGCAGCGGGGTCCTCTCTGTACACCGAGCCCCACATGTGAGATGCGAGGAACCTGCTGCTGGGGTGGACGGACGGTCGGGAGCTGACAGGACCACGTCCTGGCTCCGAGGCCCCAGCTGCCGGCCTGGCTGGCCCTGCAGGGATGCACCGCGCGACTCTGGTCCAGTTCCCTCCCCGAGGACGGGAGCTTGCAGAGGACGAGCCAGGACACAGCTCTGGGCCAGAGAAGGGGAGCACACGCAGGACCTGCTTCCGCTCGGAGGCTCTCGGCCCAAGAACGCAGACCACAGCCTTAACGCTAACGGCGTGTGGGAGGCAGTCGATCCATGATTTTCTCATCACTGATGCTCCTAGCTCTCTTCCTCGCCCCTCCTCTCTGAAACCAATGGAAACATATTTAAAAAATAAAAGGGGGGAGGGGGACACTTCCTGTGTGGCTCTTGGGGCCCTCCCTGAGGACACAGCTTTGACGATCACATAAGGTGGGGCCGGGACCGGGACCCCAGATTTTAGCCTGACATTCCAGAACAGCCCGGGAACTGGATGGTTCCACCAGGGCAGAGCCTGGTGTGCACCACCCGTGCAAACTCACACGGACTCACCTGGGCCCGGGGACGGCAATCCAGAACGCTGCCGTCCCTCCCACGCCCAGCTCGGGGCAGGCTGATGGGTCACAGCCACCCAGAGCTCCAGGAGACGGGGCCCAAGACCCGGCTGCCCCAGTTCAGCTGATTTCAGCTTCAAGCACAGAACTAGGGACCAGCCACAGGGCCATCACCCCAAAGGGAACCCAGGGCAAACGCGAAGGCACAGTGGCCTCCGGAGCCACCGGACAGCGCTGGGACAGGCCAGGGAGCGCGAGTGGCAAGCAGCTATTTTAAGGGACACGCTTGGCATTTCAAGGCTTGGCTTCGCTTTATTTACTTAGCTGCAGAGGATGCTGGACTTTCTCGGGGCTCCCTTCCCTCTAAATGGTGGCTCAGGCGGCAGCGCCGAGACTGCCTGGCGTTGCTGCGGCCCGAGGTGTGCCTACAATCCGACCGTCGCAGCGCGACCGCGTCCCTCGGAGGGTCAGGAAGCTCACACTGGAATCACGTGGGGACCCAGGCTGGGAGGACCCGGGGTCAGTGCTTTTCCATAGAAACGCACGCAGAATTCTCTGTTGCAAACAGACTTGTCTTTCCCAGAACCTGTCTCTGGGCGATGGTGGTTATCATCGTGCAGAAGGCCTCCCAGCTCATCTGCCATCGACTCGTGCACAACAGGAAGCTGCGGCACGCACTCTGGCCGCCTGGGCTGCAGGACTCAGTGCCCGTGCCTGTCAGGCCGGCATCAAGCCTAGCGGCCTGCGTCCCTGGGAAGCGCACGTGGCTGCGGTGCCGGTGCGGCAGCAGCTGATGTATTCGTGCTCAGTACGCAGATCACTCAGAGTGCAACCTCCCGCTTTTAACAAACTGCAAAGGTAAAAAAACACCAGGCAGGAAGGACGAGACCCATTAAAATGTGATGTTTACGAAACTGCCGAACGTGGCACACGAGGGCCCTAAGTCCCTGCGCCCTGACCTGGGCCATCGGCCTCCTGGCCTCGCTCTGCCAGCCTTTCTCCAGGTACGATGCTGACCACCAGCAGGTGGGCACTGGGAACCGGAGCTAACTCTGTCCTGGTCCCTCAGGCAGGCACCGGCCGTGGCGGGAGGAGGTCTCAGGTCTGTCGTCCTCACCTGCGGGGCAGGTCCACACAGGTGGCTTGTGAGCAAGGGGAGGGGGAGCTGAGACATGGCTAACATCGAGAGCAGAAAAACAAATCCAAGTCCTCATTTACTTGCCAAAATACCTGCTATTTCTTAAATTTAAGTTTCTTTCTGCGAATGTCTATGCAATTCCCAGGTAAAGTCTCTGCATATAATTCAAATGCTATCTCCAAGCTGAGAACATTTAGTGTTTAGTTTTAAGGCCAGTCAGTTGCTAAAACAAGCAAGACTATTTAAAGTTTCAACAAATGGTGACAGGTTATTATCTAAAGGACAGACAAAACCTATTTACAATCCCTTCAAAGTAAAAAAATTGCATCAGTGGGTGAAGGAGGCAGTGGAACTGAAGCCTGAGCTCACTGCCAGTGTGGGAGGAAAAAGGCCGGCAGAAAAAGGGTTAACCCTGGCCTTCTGGGAGGGAGGCCTCCAGCGGAGGGAGGCTGCCCAGCTTCCAGAGCCCATGGGCGGCCCAGCCCCAGAGCCTGCAGATATAAAGGCTGCTCCCCGGCAGCCGCGACGCTTCGGCTTCCGTGAGGACCACAGGCACCTCCGCTTCCACGGCCCCAGCCTTCCTCCCGTGTGCGGCCAGCGGCCAGGGGCCGTGAGCACAGTACCTGGGCTGGCCAGGAGCCCTTGCAGGACAGGGGGGGTCTGCTCAGAGGGGCACGGGCGGGGCGCCAGCTGCGGCACAGGTAAGTCTGTCTGGGTTCCTGGTTCTGCCTTCAGGTGGGTGTGCAGCCCACTGTGGGTGACAGCTGGGCACGGATATGGGTAGACTGAGCACCAGCTGGGGCCAGGGGCACGAGGCCCCCAACCTCTGGGTAGAGCCACGCTCCGTGGGAGAAAACCCCCACTCAGCTCTCATGATGTCGGTGTGACTCGGGAGGCTCGGTGTGCGGGCTGCATCCCAGCTCTAGCCCGTGTCCCAGTGAGGACCGGCGCCCACAGGACAGGCAGCGCCTGCAGCCCCGCCGGCCAGCACAACCCTCTGTCCTCCTTTAATGAAAACGCTTGCCTGCCCCAGAAAGCACCAGTGATCGACTTGCTTTACAAGGACGCGAGCCTAATGGGTCTGACAAAATGTGGCCTGGCTTCTCTCGGACAAGCAGTGGGGGCCCACCCGATGGCGCATCCGTCTACTGCTCCCCACCCGTTAGTGGGTGCTCGCGGCCAGCCCCGTCCCTGCACCTCCTCCTGGACACAGCCTGGGTGGAGGCTCCCTCGCAGCCCCTGTGCCGTCGTGCCCGCTCACCTCACGCTCCCCTATGAGCCGCCTAGCACCTCAGGATTCCCAGTTAAAGAGCAAAGCAAACAGCCAGGGCAGTTTTACAAAGAAATAAAAGAGGCTCTAAAAACACAGACTAAAACCAAAGGTATCGACCGCCAGGTAAAGGGTCCTGACACAGAGCTGGGCAGGGGCTGGCTCTCTCTTTAGTTTCCAGCATTTTCGAGTGCGAGGTCTAGGAATGTCGAGTCTGGGTTGGCAGCTCTTCAGAATCGGTTCCTCATGGCCTCCCGGGATTAAATGAAAACTCTCAAATCAACAATTCAAATCCATTTTAGTGGGACCAGCCGGTTCCTCTGGGCTTCTCTGCCCTTGAGCGGGCGCGTCCCTCCCTGGGTCCCTGGGTGGGGCCGTCCTGTGTGCTGTGGGGCCTGCCCCCTGCCAGGGGGCACTCCCCCGCACTGTGACCTAATACCGCACGCAGCCGACCCACAGAGAACTTGGGGGACGACAGTCAAGTGCAGACCCGAAGCCCCAGTTTCCACAGAGCTGCCCGCATCGGCCAGCAGCCGGCCGCCAGCCCCCAGAGCCGGCTGAAAGGGCGGCTGCCTTGCCCACTTCCAGGTCACCGGGTTGCTAGGTTACAAACAGCATTACAGAACATATTAGGTGTGACAGTAATTGTCAACACACTGAATAAAATTTCAATAGTGTTCCCTAAAACAATTACCATTTTCATTCCTTAGTTTGTCTTTCATGCCATGTTATTTAAAAAAGTTTCATTTTCGGCATCTAAACTTAGTGCGAGGCTTAGCAAGGAAGCGAGATTTCTTGGATCATTTTCCTGTCAGAGAAGAGGTTCTACCCCGTCTCCCCACGGCGCCTGGGACCCACTGTCTCTCAGAAAAGCTGGGTTTCCCTCCTGCTTATTCCTCTTCCAACAGCTGCCAACATAAATTCTATCTCCTCTCCCGACAGACAGTAGTCTTCCTAAGATTTCCAACCCGTCTCCACATCACTGCACAAGCCAGCCACTGGACCGGCCGTCCGAGGCTCCTGGGTGAGGCTGACTCACTGTCCGTCCGCAGCAGCGAGCCCTCGGGGGAGCGTCTATTTCTCTGCCTCGGCGCAGCAGCACGTGTCCTCCCAGAAGACACACCTGCAGGGAGCCCTTCCGCACCCACAGTACACCTGCCTGCAGCATGAAGGGTGGAGGGCGCCCTGCGCCCCTCTGCTCCCAGGTGCCCGCAGGAGCGGGTCGTGCAGAGCCCGCCCGCCGCCCGCCTCCTCCTGCAGGGCAGACCCCGGCCGCCGGCTCCTGCTGACGGGCTCCGAGTGACCTACGCCCGGCTCACTTCTGAGGACAGCACCTTTCTTTCTCAAGATGGATGTGCTGCTTAAGACGGGTTTCTGAGAGCCTCCCGGCAGAGCCTGAAGGCCGCCCGTGGTGGAGGTGTGGGCATGACCTCCCGAGCGCCCGTCGCTGGCATGGAGACCCACCCCGGAGCCTACGACGGCACCCCCGTGGCGCTCAACCTGTCCGGCGTGCTGGCCGGCAGGGCACTAGCCAACCAGACGGGCGAGCTGGCGGCGCACCCGCACCCGCAGTACGCCATCGGGCTCTTCCTCTCCTGCCTCTACACCGTCTTCCTCTTCCCCATCGGCTTCGTGGGGAACATCCTGATCCTGGTGGTGAACCTCAGCGCCCGGGAGAGGATGAGCGTCCCCGACCTGTACTTCATCAACCTGGCGGCAGCCGACCTCATCCTGGTGGCCGACTCGCTGATCGAGGTGTTCAACCTGGACGAGCAGTACTACGACATCGCCGTGCTCTGCACCTTCATGTCCCTCTTCCTGCAGATCAACATGTACAGCAGCATCTTCTTCCTCACCTGGATGAGCTTCGACCGCTACCTCGCCCTGGCCCAGGCCATGCGCTGCGGCCTGTTCCGCACCAAGCAGCACGCCCGGCTCAGCTGCGGCCTCATCTGGATGGCCTCGGTCTCCGCCACACTGGTGCCCTTCACCGCTGTGCACCTGCAGCACTCCGGGGACGTCTGCTTCTGCTTCGCAGACGTCAAGGAGATCCAGTGGCTGGAGGTCACCCTGGGCTTCATCATCCCCTTCGCCATCATCGGCCTCTGCTACTCACTCATCGCCCGGGTCCTCGTCAAGGCCCACAGGAGCCGGGGCCTGCGCCCGCGCCGGCAGAAGGCGCTCCGCATGATCGTGGCCGTGGTCCTCGTCTTCTTCATCTGCTGGCTGCCCGAGAACGTGTTCATCAGCGTGCACCTCCTGCAGCAGGCGCAGCCAGGCGCCGAGCCCTGCCAACAGTCTTTCCGCCATGCCTACCCCCTCACCGGCCACATTGTCAACCTCGCAGCTTTCTCCAACAGCTGCCTGAACCCCCTCATCTACAGCTTCCTTGGGGAGACCTTCAGATTCAAGCTGCGGCTGTACATGGAGCAGAGAACAAGCGTGTCGGCCCTGAATCGCTTCTGCCACGCGGCCCTGAAGGCCGTCATCCCGGATGCCGAGCAGCCAGAGGTGAGGTTCAGCAGCGTGGCGTGACGGGAGCTGCTCCTGCCCTCAGCACCGCCCGGGCGAGGGCACCGAGGGGGTCAGGGCATGCCAGGGCCCCTCCCAGCTGGAGCGCTGCCACCCTCGAGCTCTCAGGCACCTGCACCAGCTGCTGCAGAGCTGTACCACCACCGTGCTCCCGATGGCAGTCACGGATGCCACGGGCCTGGGACCCGCGTGGCCCTCTCCGCGCAGACTGTCTCACGGCAGCAGCAAGGAGGGCGCTTTGGTGGAGCGCCTTCATGCCAGGCAGCTCGCCAGGAGCCTGCCCCTCAGGAGAAATGGAGCCTAAGGCTGAGCTGAGCTGGCAAGGCCACTGCCCCGTCTGTGTCCGCACGCTGCGTGCCTGCCCAGTGCCTTTGGTCCCCAGGTGAGAGTGACACCTGCGCGCTCAGGCTGCCTGGGCACCATCACTCCCTCCTTTCCATCTGGACGCAGCGTCTCTGCAGCAGCGGAGTGGAGGGGCCCCGAGGGCGGCTCGGGAACACGGCGAGACGCTCCAGCTCGTGGGGACAGTGGAGCAGTGAGGACGCCGTGAGAACAGCTCTGGGTAAAATGTACAGAGGTAATGCCAGTGGTGGCTGGCACTGCTCAGCTCTGTCAATAAAACTCGCGTGCTGGTGCCTCCAGGTTCTCGAAGCAGCTCCCTCCCGGGGCGGGTGGGGCTCATGGAGCCCGTAAAGTCTCCTGCGCGATGCGGCTCCTCACTCACGTGAGAGCTCTTAGGCCAACACTCACCGCAGCCCCTGGACATGGCGGCATCTCTGGGGGTCTGGGCCCTGCTGCACCATCCTTGGGCAGAATGTTCCACGCGGCCTCACTCTTCTAGAAGGTTCTGGCTGTCAGCACAAGCGCAACCCGCAGTCCTGCAGGGACAGCTGCAGCTCCGGGCAGTCAGGGAGCCCGCAGGCGGGGTCCTGAGAAGTGGGCAGGTCTGTCCATCCAGTGGGATGGGCCCCGGGACAGCAGCGGGGCCCCCACAGGCTGCCCCGGATGCACTGAACCAGCTTCCGGGAGCATGAGGCCTGGGAGAGCCCCGTAAAAGGTTCAGGGTATCCGACAGTCCCTGCCCCCCACCCCCTCGGGCGGGCAGGCGAGTGTGTGCTCACGCCTGCAGCTGCAGCTGTCACACACCCAGAAAACATCAGCTCTCCCACAGATCTGACTCCTGCTGTTGAACAGTGAGTGCGGATCCCGCCTGGAAATACAAGTTTAAAAGCCAAGGGAATGCAGGTCACCAGACCAACTGATCCGAAGGGTCCTCCTGGGTGGCCTCCACCGAGCGCTTATCGTAGGATGCTAGCTGCGACTCAGGTGACGAGAGCCCCCCGGGTGGCAGGGTCCTTGCACACAGAGCGCCTGTGCGCCCCCCACCCCCCGCACAGCCATGAATGAGCGGGTCCTCGGGCCGTTTCCCGCCCTGCGTCCTCTAGGAGGAATGGGCTGTCCCGAGTCTGTGGTTCCCGTGGCCCTTGCACAGGCTCTGAAGGGAGCCAGCTGCGTGGACTCAGTCTCGCCGAGCCGCCACCTGGATCCAGGTGAGTCGCCCAGGCCCCAGGAGACCTGGGTCCTCCAGAGAAGTCACTGCTTCAACAAACAAGAGAGGGGGGACATCCTCCTGAGACCCGGCCCAGCACAGAACACTCCGTCCCTGGCCAACAGCATGGCATTTTTCTTTGCTGACTCAAAAATGCAAACGGCCCAGGAACGAAGAAAACCCCAGCAGGCCACTGTCTCAGAGGACACTGGTCTCATCGAGCAGCTCCTTCTAAGAAACAGAGTTAAATGCAAAGGTCCTCCCTCGCCCCCACAACAGAGCTCTCCCCGACAGCAGCGCCCGAGCTGCCCGAGGGGAGACCTGCTTCAGGGCTCCCCGAGTCCCTTTCTAAGTCCCCTGAGTCTCACAATTCCATCCCCCACCCGACCCCGGGCGAGGGCGGCTCGGACAGCACATGTCCAATCCCCCTTAAAGCCGAGCGCCTAAAAGGACGGACTCCCACCCTAGCTGGTGTGGCTCAGTGGATAGAGCGTTGGCCTGCAGACGGAAGGGTCCTGTGTTCGATTCTGGTCAAGGGCACAGGCCCGGGTTGTGGACTCGTTACCCAGTGTGGGGCGTGCAGGAGGCGGCTAATCCATGATTCTCTCTCATCATTGATGTTTCTCTCTCTCTCCCCCTCTCCCTTCCTCTCTGAAATCAATAAAATATACTAAAAAATAAATAAATAAAATGATGGACTCCCACACCAACCTCTGGCAGGAAGCTCAAAACCGGGCCAGTGACTGCACGCCAAAGCACGCTGTCCTCACCACCCCCAGACCCAAGGCCCAAAGAGCTGCGCTCTGCGTGGCCACCTGACCCTCATGGGACGGGAGAGAAACACAGGCGCCAAGAGTGAATGCGAGGCCCTGGAGGAGTCAGATCCACAGACAGGAGGGGGGAGGCGGAGCCAGGGCCTGGGCAGCGAGTGCTCACGGGGACAGTCTGTTTGGGAAGATGAGAAAGTTCTGGAGATGGTGGTGGTGACGGATGCACAACAATGTGAACGTGCTCACTGCCACTGAACGCTACGTCGAAGAATGGCTAAAAGGGCCCTCGCCAGTTTGGCTCAGTGGTTAGGGCGTCGGCCTGCGGACTGAAGGGTCCCGGGTTTGATTCTGGTCAAGAGCACATTCCTGGGCTGTGGGCTCGGTCAGATGTGCAGGAGGCAGCCAGGCAATGATTCCCTGTCATCACTGATGTTTCTCTCTCTCTTCCTCTCTGAAATCAGTGAAAACATATTTAAAGAAAAAAAATGGCTAAAAGAGTTCATTTTATATTGGGTGCATTTTATGACAATAAAAGAAAAAAGTGAGAACAGGATTTTGCCTAAGCAAGGGAGCAGCGGGAGGCTGTGGACAGACGCTCTGGGGGAGCCCACCGCGAGGCGCTCAGTGGACACCGAGCTTCGGGGGGACTCTGGCTGGGCACAGGAGCAGCAGCTGCTGGAGCTGTGAGGGCAGGAGGCTGGTGTGGGGTCTGGCTCCACAGCCGGATGCTCCTCAGAACCCCCAGGCTTTTAGAGCAGCAACACGAGCAAAGACTGAGCCATAAACTGCTCGTTCGCACAGACGCAGCGGCCCCACCGCTTGGTGCCAGGTGACCCAGTGCTTGTTCCGGCTGCTCCTACTGTTTCACATCCCCTCCTGGCGCCCCTGGTGCCCCCACTGAGTGTTCCGAGGCACCCCGCCCCGCCCCGCCCTGTGTGAGCGTCTACCTGCCCCAGCCCTTCCCTGAAGTCACATGAAAGCAGCGCCATCGAGCCCTGTGACAAGGACTCCTCCCGTCCAGTGCGTCCCCCTGCTGCCAGGAGCAGGGCCCCCAGGGTTTGACCGGGCCCTGGGCTGCCGGCCGTGCCCGTAGCCGGATAGGACGGACGTAAGGTGAGGTCAGTAGGTGAGAAGGAGGGCACGCCGGCCGCTTCCAGGTCACCTCCTGCCAAGTGCAGCCGTTGGCCCTCACTTGGTCTTCCCCCCGCTCCAAACACAGACGTGCAGGGGGCGGGGAGAGGCTCCCTCAGGGCCTGCAGCCGCCCAGCCCTGCCACTCCCCTCTGGACTGTGAAATCACGTCCTCCTGCTCCATCGTCTGGCGACTGGTCAGCCTCCACCTCGGTCTCAGGCCCTTCTTCCCCTGGTTCATTCCCAACATCTGCCGCGCCACCTGGTACAGGAGCCCCGTGCCCTGGGGTGGGGTGCACTGCCACATCCCTGGTCCCGGCCAGTGCCCGCAGCCACAGTGCAGTCCCTGCCCAACAGCGGCCTCGCCTGCCCAACCTCCTGGTTCTAGGCGGCGCCTCGGGAGGTGCAGATGGCAGCGCTGTCAGTGAACCCCGTGGCGATTTTTAGCTCCAGGGTGTTATGTCTGAGCACACACACAAGCCGGGCTCTGGTGCGGGCGCTCCGACGCCGTCCTGGCTGCTCCAGGTGCAGGCGGAGGGGGCCGTGCAGATGAGAAGGGCCGCGGCCCCGACACCGCCCACAGGACGAGAGCTAAACTGGACATGTTTATGCTGGAGCAGCAGGAGGCGAGCTCTGTGCCTGGGAAACTGCTGCCGAGCAGCCACTGTTTTCCCAGCTGTGGCGACGGCGCCTGGGAAAGCGCGTCATTCCGCCACAAAAATAATCCGCAGCTGAGCCAGCAGCGGCCTCAGCCCCCACTCTGCATCTCGGACCCTGAACCGGAGCTCCCGCGTCCGCTGTGGACGAGGCCGGGACGCTGCTCCTGAGCTGAGTGCGCGTCACCGTGAAGGAAGCCCCCCCCTCCCTCCCCGAGCGTGTGGTGTCCTCCTGCACCAGGAACCACCCACCAGGCTCCATGGAGCAGGGGCCGGGGAGACAACCCGCAGACGCGCATCCAGAGAAGCCCTGGGCACAACTCCCCCGGCTCTAGCAGGCCCCAGCGACACCCTCCACACCACGACCAACCATCTCAAGACACCAGAGACACGGCGCCCGCTCCTAAAGCGGAGAAAACAGACTCGCTCAGGGCCTCTAGGAGCACTGCGGACGGACGGGCCACCCAGACCCAGTTCAACCTCAAAAATGGCGAAAGGACTAAACACAGTGAGTCTTGTGACCTCAGGGTCATCTGTGTGAGCGCGGAGAGCCCGCCGTGCTGAGGCCGGGCACCCGCCCTGGCGCACGCAGCGAACCCCGTGACCCCCGCGCTGTGGTTTCACCAGGGCACGTTCTCCGCTGCCGAGGAGACCTGCTGACAACCAAGCCGAGCCCATGCTACGCACAAGCACACCCGCGAATGGGCCTTGCTTTCCTGTATGGGAGCCGCTTTCACACACACCCCGCCCCCAGAGTCCTGCTGTCTGCCCAGTGGGCGGCATTTTCTCATTCACATTGGGGGGCGGGAGGGCAGGTGGAGGGGCTGTTTGTTTAGGGCAAAAGCCATAAACAACAACCGATGGGGAATCTGCTTCATGAAGAAAGCTGTGCAAGAAGACAAATGCTGCACAGGATGGAGAGAAACACGGCGGCCACACGTCAGTGCGGTCACAGCGTCACAGCGTCAGCGAGGTGGCAGCTGAAACCCGCGAGCCGCCCTGTCACGGTCCCACAGGCCGGTGCGGGCGCGGGAAAGGCGCAGCAGAGGGAGCGCTCGGCGGTGAGACGCTGCGGCTCCCGGCCCCGCGGCGCCCTCACAGGTAGAGCCCTGTTCTGGTTCCCTCCCCTCCCGTGTTCCCTGTCTTTTCTCTCACTCTCCTTTACCACGGTCATGTCTGATCAGAGGAAATAACACTGCTTTCTAAAGTCACAGTTGCTGAGCTATTTTGTGCTGACACAGGAAGCAGGGCTCACAGATGCTCCCTGGCTGCCGCAGGGCCACCGGAGCCGGGATGATGGCGGGACAGCTGGAGGGCGGCCCGATGGGAATGGATGGGGAGGCTGCATCTCCGGGGCAGGACAGCTGCTCAGCTCCCAACTCTTCGGCGGTCGTCCTTCCGGCTTAACCATGAGCCCGGAGCCCGTTAACCATGAGCCCGGAGCCGGTTAACCATGAGCCCGGAGCCCGTTAACCATGAGCCCGGAGCCCGTTAACCATGAGCCAGGAGCCCGCTCTAGTCTGAGGCACCCCCTCGGGCCAGCCTGCAAGCCGACCAGACTGTCGCCCCAGCCCCCCTCTGCTCCAAACGATGCCCAAAGAGCTCCTGGAGAAAGACAAGGACATCACACACAGGCAGGGCAGACCAAGGCACGGCAAAGGGGGACCCAGCAGGACACCCCACCTGCCCCGAAGCCAGAAAACCCCCCAAGACCAGCCACCCGGCAGTTTCTAGTCACTGAAGCCACGCCCACATCGCCAGCGGAAGCCAGTGCTGCCCGCCGGTCCTGGCCCGGACAAGGGGCTGTCCCCTCCCAAACCTGAGAGCCGGGACCGAGGCCTGAAGCGCAAGCAGGGACGTGCCACGCGCTGTGGCGACTCGGGCGCTGGGTCTCGCGCGACAGTGGGGAGGCTTAGGGAAACAACAGCCGCTCAGGAAAGCAGGTGGCGGTTTCTCCAGGAACTCCACACGCACGTGCCAACCCCCCCAAGGAGCCACACGGTGCCCCTCCGAGAGGACACGTGCCCTCGCAGAAGCAA